CGGGATAGGGCATGAGCTTTTTACTTTTCAAGGCTGGTTACTCGTTGCGATACAGTTGTTTAGTATCAAAATACATGTTCAATGACCAACGTCATACAACAATTTTGCTATACCATTTCAACCCAACTTACAACACTTTAGAAGCAATTAGGAGGTATGCAGGTAAATTCCATTCAGACACCTCAAATGACAAGTGATTTTTGTGCAGGTAACCATGCGAGCAATGAATGTCAAGTGAGGAACACCTTTGCTTCAGCTTCATCATCATCCGAACAAGTCAACTATTTGGCAAGGAATCAGAGACAATAGAACAATCCTTTCTCTAACACATATAATCCTGGTTGGAGAAATCATCCAAATCTATATTGGGGTAATCAGAATAATCAATGGAACCAAAGAAATGCACCAAACAATCAAGTTGGGATGAATCATCAACCAGGGGATCAAAGATTGTCGAAATTAGAGGATATGTTCAGGAAGTTCATGCAAGAGACCACAGGTTTCATGACTGAGACGAGGGAAAATTTTAGAAACCAAGGGGCATCCATTCAAAACTTGGAGGTACAAATAGGGCAAATAGCCGAAAAGCTGAATGAGCAACCATAGGGTTCCCTACCAAGTAACATAGTGACAAATCCACGAGAACAAGCAAATGCAATAACTTTACAAAATGGAATAGTTTTGGAAGGGGTTGAACAAAAAGGGAAGGATGAGAACCCACCAAGTAAAGCGAAGGAAGAATCCGATAAAGAATTCGAGGAAGAAGTCATGGTTGAAGAGAAGCCAACGAGTCCCAGAGAAGAAGAACCGAAGAGGGAAGAGAGGCCAAAGCAAAAGAAAGAAAAATTACCATTTCCTGAGATACCACCGGAGTTGGCACATCATACTCCTCTTGTTCCTTTTCCTCATAGGCTTAGAAAGAAAAATCAAGATAAGCAGTTCATGAAATTATTGAGGTATTTAAAAAACTGCATATTAACATTCCTTTTACAGATACCTTGCAGCAAATGCTGAGCTACGCAAAATTTCTCAAGGAAATTCTATCAAACAAGAGGAAGTTGGAAGAGGTGGAAATAGTGATGCTTATAGAGGAGTGCAGTGTCATTTTACAGAAGAAGCTGCCACCAAAACTCAAGGATCCAGGGAGTTTCACTATCCCTTGTGTTATAGGAGATATTACATTTGATAGGGTTTTATGTGATCTAGGAGCAAGCATTAATCTAATGCCTTTCTTTATTTTCAGGAGACTAGGGATTGGTGAAATGAAGCCAACAACCATATCTTTGTAGCTTGCAGATAGATCCATCAAGCAACTGAGAGGCATAGTTGAAGATGTACTGGTTAAGGTGGACAAAGTCATCTTTCCTATAGACTTTGTCATGTTAGATATAGAAGAGGACAAGAAAATGCCTCTCATCTTGGGGTGACCATTTCTTGCCACCGGAAGAGCCTTAATTGATGTACAAGGAGGGAAGTTGTTTGTGAGGGTCCAAGATGAAACAGTGACATTCAATGTCTTTAAGACCATGAAATTATCATCAGCATCAGATTCATGCTTTAGTGTAGACTTGGTGGATAGACTTGTAGCAGATGCTATCAAAGAGAACACCCCTCAACTACCTTTAGAAGCTTGCATTGCCCAATCAAAAACCACCGAGGTAGATGAGCCAGCGAAGAATGAGTGTGCCAGGCTCTTGGAAGCACTTCAACCGATAAACGCAAGCCAAGATCCAAAATTTGAAGAGTTTAACATAGAAAAAAAGAAGGAAAAGGCAAGAACGAAATAACCTCCAATACTTGAACTGAAGCCTTTACCATCTCACCTCAAATATGTATATCTTGGTGAATCAGAATCCTTTCCAGTGATCATCAATGCAAAGCTGAGTAAATTGGAGGAAGAGAGGTTGATTCGGGTGTTAAGAGAACATAGATCAGTAATTGGATGGACCATATCGGACATTAAAGACATCTCTCCATCTTTTTGTATGCACAAGATACTCATGGAAGATAATGTCAAGCCCAGGGTGTAGCCGCAATGGAGATTGAATCCTTCTATGAAGGAAGTGGTGAGAAAGGAAATGTTGAAACTTTTAGATGTAGGCATCATCTACCCTATTTTAGATAGTCCATGGGTGAGCCCGATGCAAGTGGTTCCAAAGAAAGGAGGTATCACGGTAATAAAGAATGATAACAATGAATTGATACCAACTAGGACAATCACGGGTTGGAGGGTGTGTATTGACTACAAAAAATTGAATGAAGCAATCAGGAAGGATCATTTTCCACTTCCTTTCATCGATCAAATGTTGGAAAGATTGGCGGGGCATGCTTATTATTGTTTCTTGGATGGCTTTTCAGGCTATAATCAGATTGCCATTGCTCCTAAAGATCAAGAGAAGATGACATTCACTTGTCCTTATGGTACCTTTGCTTGTAGAAGGATGTCTTTTGGGTTGTGCAATGCACCGGCCACATTCCAGCAATGCATGATGTCAATTTTTGGTGACATGGTGGAGCGGTTCATAGAAGTCTTCATGGATGACTTCTCTGTTTTCAGTTCTTCTTTTGATAATTGCCTGTCTAACCTTTCATTTGTTTTGCAGCGATGTCAAGATACAAATTTGGTGTTCAACTGGGAGAAATGTTACTTCATGGTTCAAGAAGGAATAGTACTCGGTCACCGAATTTCAAAGGATGGCATTGAAGTGGATCGAGCCAAAACGGAAGTGATTGAGAAGCTACCACCATGTACAAATGTTAAGGCAGTACGGAGTTTCCTAGGGCATGCGAGGTTCTATAGACGGTTTATAAAAGATTTCTCCAAAATTTCTAAACCCCTTTGCAACTTGTTGATTAAGGATGCCTCTTTTGATTTTGATGATGAATGCATGCATGCTTTTCAAACTCTTAAGAATTTATTAGTGTCTGCACCCATTATTGCGGTTCCCAATTGGGAACTCCCCTTTGAATTGATGTATGATGCTATTGATTTTGCATTAGGAGTAGTTTTAGGACAAAGGAAGAACAAAGTTTTGCATGTAATTCAGTATGCTAGCAAGACACTAACCGATGCACAGTTGAATTACACCACTACTAAAAAAGAGCTGTTCGGCTTTGTTTTTGCATTTGACAAATTTCGCTCTTATTTGCTAGGTGCTGAGGTGATAGTCTACATGGACCACTCAGCACTCAAGCATCTGTTGGCAAAGCAAAAGGCAAAACCAAGGCTAATAAGATGGATCCTACTACTGCTAGAGTTTGAATTGGAGATCCAAGACAAAAAAGGGTCAGTAAATGTGGTGGTAGATCATCTATCAAGGATTGAACGATTAAACCAGGGAAGTGAAAAGGAAATTCAAATCAAGGAGATATTTCCGGATGAGAAATTGATGAGAGTTGAAGAAGCACCTTGGTATGTAGATATTGCAAATTACTTATCATCGAGAGTGCTCCCAAATGGCATGACTTTCCAGCAGAAGAGGAAATTTTTCTCTGACTTGAAGTTCTACATCTGGGAAGAACCATTTTTGTATAAACACTGTGTAGATCAGATGATACGTAGGTGTGTCCTGGAAAAGGAGATGGAGAGTATTTTAAGGCATTGCCATGAGAAGGAGGTTGGTTGTAATGCCCACATGGAGGTATGTAATTTAATTTATGCTCTTATACCTTTAGTTGAGTTTTGCTAAAGTTATTTTGAGAAAATTTGAAGAAAATGCCTTAAACTTGCATTAAGGGTAAAATGGTCTTTTCACTCAAAATTAGTTGAAATTGTGGGGAGTGAAAGAAGATAGAATTTCATGGAGAATGCAATAAAAATAAGGGCATTATGGTAATTGACTAAGGGACATAGATGCTATTTTAAAGAAAGTGCAAGGGCAAAATGGGAAACTATATATAATTTTTATGTTATATCAAATCGAGGAGTGAAACCCTAGTCACTCTTACCCATTTGCACGCCACTTTCACCTCCATATTCTCTCAAATTCTTCAATTCTTCTTCAAAGGAAATTCATAGGTTTTGTGTATTTTTGAGTGGATTTTCAATCTTAAGCTTCTATGGATAAGATCTTTGCACTTCTTAAAGGGGTTGGATTGCTCATATCAAAAGTAAGTAAATCCCACCCAAGTTATGATTTGAGAAATCAAGTGTGTAGAGATTTTACATATATGTATATGCTTATGATTTTGAGAATTGTTGATGAAATTGATGAATTATTGATGAGTTTGATGATTATTGATGAATAGAATTTAGCCATGAGAAGTGGTTTTGGTTGTATGATGATTAATTGAAGTTTTGTTGAAGTTAGAAAGAGTTGAGTAGAATTTTCGGGAGCGTATTGTTTTGGACATATTCTTTCACTGAATTAGCCCCCTGTTGCAAACTAATAAACTCCTGAATCTTTTCCTGGACTCGATCAACTGTTCTATATTTTGCCTCAAACAATCTCTTGAAATCTCCCTAGGTCATCAAAGTTGTATCATAAGTATCCTCCATCAATTCCCACCATATATGGGCATCAACCCTAAATACTGAATCTTCTCCCGATCTGTCATAGGGAAAAGTGTCGTCGTACGCTCCACTGATCTGAACCACTCATTTGCCACTATTGGGTCCACAGTACCCCTAAATTCTGACGGCTAGTGTTGACTAGGCAACCCATAAATTGGCTCAATTTCAATTCCCTGGCAAGGTTCGTGCCAGGAGTAGTGAGTACACCAGAGTTGAGGAGAGATGAATTCGTGCATGGGCTGAAACCAGAAATAGCCCGAGATGTGATGGCCGGTGCCCAACCCCCTTAGACATACAGTGAAGCTTTGGAACGAGCTTTACAGGCAGAAATATTTGTGAATAAGCTAACCCCGGCAACTCCATCAGTAGTAGCCCCCAGTGTTCCACCTCCTGCTCCACAGAGAGATAGAGTTGATGCCCCATTAATAGAACAAACAAATATTCAAACAATAAAGTGAACTGTTTTCTCTTCGGGTGAGAAAATACCGCAAGGTTTGGATAACAAATGATTACTTCCTTTCATTGATAAGTTTCGGTTGCTTAAATAAAGCCACTTACACTAAAACCGAAATAAAAGGGAAACTATTAGCTAATAAATGAACTACAACCCATGTAAAACAGAGCATGCAAATACAAGCTAATAACTGAACTACACCCCACGTAAAACAGAGCATGCAAGCAATGTTCTTCATGTCCCAGCTCATCCCAATGTCGTGGCCTATCAGAAAAGTGGCTTAATTATAGCTGCCCCTATATACATTGAATAAAATAATAATTGGTTTACTAACCATTTTAACCTTGATGGAATGTTGAGTAGATTTATCAACTAATAAGAATTATATACATATGCAGCTTTTCTTTCTACATATGTAACCTCTCTGACTATATAACATTGTAAAATTACAATCAATAATTGAAATTGGTATCTAAACAAGTGCATAGTATTATTGAATACCAATTCAATGGCTGATATATATTAGACTACTGGAGGAGCAACTGGTTGCGAGAAGCATTGTACCAGCGAGCATAGGAGGCATGGAGGTTGGGCCAGTCAGAGTATGGACAATATGTGAAATGGTGAAGCCATAGGGACAATACTTGCTCTTGCTCTTCTTCTTGTTCCAACATTTCTATGTTCTGTTCCAGTACTTTCTCCAGTTCAGCCCTTTCATTTGTGCTTAGAACTGGCACATCCATACCATTGCTAGCTCTGCAAAGTAATGGTAACCATGACAGTAGCATCTTCATTTTTGTTTTTCGTTGTTGCTCTTTCTTATATTCTTCTTCTTCATCACTTGTTTCTACTCCCAAATCTTTGGCTTGCTTGAACAAAAATGCTGAAAACATAAGTTTAATCAATACTCTAATACAATAATCAAAGAAAGGATTTGGAGTTGAAAAAAAAAAAATAAAAAAAAATCTAATCAACAATATCATCCTCTTGGCACATCTATGTAATTATTTTACCTGATATAATTATTTTCTTTATTAATGTGAAGAAAAATCTTATCATATATATTTATTTTTCAAAATTTTCTCATTTCTACCAACTTTTGTTAATACTAATATACTATAATTGAATATATGTTTAACATTTTTGTGAATAATCTTATAAACTATATTAAATGATTGTTTTACTAGATATTTGGATTGTTTTACTAGATATTTGTTCTCTTTTTTCATTGATTTAAATTTCTATTCAGATTTATAAATTTGTCTTGCAGTGTCTTGTAGTTGCAGTGGTAAGCGATGGCACAACAAGACACTTGATTTGTAGTATTAGTAAATCCGGACCGTTGAAACTCTAAAATAGGTTATAGAAAAAGACACAGGTTTGCATCAACTAATCGTCAAATGTATTATTGGTTGACAGTGACTCTAATCATCGACCACAAAAGAGATTCCTCCACCAAGTAGTATATTCTAATTATTATCCTACTTTTGGAAATCATGTGTTATTAAAAAGATTTATTTTATTATATATTTCTAATTACAGAACGAGTAGAAACAAAAAATAAATTCGCAGAAATCCTTGTCCCTCCCCTTTCTAGCAATTTCTTTTCTCACTACAGTTTTAGCAACCTTTAGTTAGTCTTCCAACCCTTGTTTAATTTCTAATAAAAAAGGCTACGTCAATTGTTAGTTGTTACCAATTAATTTAGACCTTCCTTAATGAAACATTACTATCCAATTATTTATTTTAGTTAAATTTGTAGTTAATACTATTTAATTAAATATTCATTCTTTCTACTAAGGCCATTTTTATTGTTAGAATTTCCATTTAATGAGATTATAATAGTTAAATATTTAATTTTCCCAATCAAGTTATACTATGAAAAGTTAATCTCATATATACAATATAAGATTTATTCTTATTTCAATAACTTAACTATCTTTTACTAAATAGGCATAAACCCAAAAATTAATTTTAGGGGGGACAAATTTAAAATATATTGTGTGTATATATGCAAAAATAAATAAGTTAGATCATATACGGAAACATTAATATAAACACAGTCTGATTAACGAAATAATAATAATAAAAGCAAAGTAATATTTATTTATGGGTGGGATCACCAGCCCCACTCATTACTATGTCCATATGGGTGTGCACTTGTTACTAAATATAAAAATTATAATATTTTTTTTTTTCTTATGCCCAGAAATTGCATCTAGCTGGCTCTAGCTTTTAACTTCTAATACTCTATTTACGGGATAAATCATTTTATATCCAATTAAATTACGAAATTTTAAAAAAAAAAAAATTACCTGAAACCCTGACCAATGAGCCCTGCAATCGTGGCTCAGCTGAAAGAGCAAGCCACCCCAAATTGGAAGCCGATGCCCACCTTTCAACAGCCTCCTCTGCAAACCCATAAGCCGCCATCTTCTGCGCCAGCCACAGTAACTCAGCCGCCTGCTTCTCAGCCGATCTCCCAGATCGGTTCACCTCCTCCTTTCCCCACCCAACCCTCAACTGAACCACCCGCATAACCCGGTTGAACCGATACTGAACCGGCCAAGAACTTACCAAATCACCACCAAGTTCCACAACCGCGGCTTCAAGTTGGCTAAGAGCCCTTGCAAAGGCTGACGTTAAAACTGTCCGGTTGACTTCATGTAAAGCCTCAACATTCTCTCTATAATTCTCATCAATAAGCCTCTCCGCTAAAGATCTCACAACTTCATACTTTCGAGAGTTGATGGGGATATCATTGACAATTGATAGTAATTGTGAAAGTGCTCGAGCGATACCCGAGTCACCGCTGCCACAAGAAAGCTCGTAAACATTATTTTTGTGGGATTTAAAGCTGAAATTATGATTATTTTCTTCCGAATTTGAGTTAAAAGATGGGAAAAGAGATGGGAGTAAACGTAAGAAGAAGAGAGAGGAAGTGATGAGAATATAGCGAATGAGTTCGAGGGGTTTGTATTTTTGGGCCAAATTTAAAAGGGATTTGTCTGCATAGATGAATATAGAAGTGACAAGGTTTCGAAGAAGCAAAGGGGCTATGGAGGTAGGTGTATATTCCATCATGCCCATGTGATATATTTTCGTGGAGTTTCTTTCTTGTTGTTTAGGTGAAGGGAAAGTTTTTTCACAGGTTTGTGAATGGTTGAAGATGATGAGAAGGAGAATAGAGGAATGATTGCTTCCAGTTTTTAGGTTAATGTAGACAATAAATGTGGTGTTTAATTTGGACCGTAGAATAATATGTAGATGTTTAATAGTATTTAAGGGTGATAAAGACGTGCTGTGATGAATATTGAATAATATGTAGATGTTTCGTAACTGTTAAATGTGATAAGAAACTTTTTCTCTGGTGAGACTAAGACATACGTAATAAAATATGATAGGATATCGAATATTAAAGCACGTTATTATTAAGAGTTAAACGCGTACATCCTATAATAACAAATATACTATTATGGTTTCTAAGGTAATCAAAACTTTTCTATAATTAATAAAAAAAATTAGTCAATCGTTAAAATTGATTTAAAAAGCCTCATAGTGTTGCCTTGGCAATTAAAAAAGCTTGCTTCCTCTATTGATTTTTTTATTCTTACCACCTTAGGACTACTTATCACACATTTGTGATTTACCTTTGAAACATTAGGCTTGCAGGGACAATAGGTCACAAGAGTTAATGAGAAACGTGTAAACTAATCTGAACACAATTTAACTCCTCACCCATTAAGCCCTTGTTGAATGAAAGGATTATCCCCTCTTATAAACCAATGCCTATTTGATGTAAGACTTCAACACTCCTACTCATGGTAAAACTCATATGTTGGGTCTAGTTCTAATACTATGTTAGAATTTGAGATGGACCTGACTCTTCAACCAATAATGCCTTGTTGAATGGGAGGATTACCCCTTTTTTTTAAACTAATAAGCTTGAGCGTACCTAGTCGGTGTGGGACTCCAATAATGACTCCTAAAAATGAATGTGATTGACTGTATTATTAATGCAAGCTTATGTTGAGCTGTGGTCTTGACAGGCTATTCGCAAGTATACGAAATCATGCAAGTAATAAAGCTCGAGTAAACGAGTATCGAATCCCAAGGGAACTACCTACCAAGTACCAAGCTAGTATATTCTATTGCTTTTAAGAATGACTTTAATGAAAAAGTAACAAACTAAAAACTAAATAAATGCAGAATTTATAAACACTTTGATGTAAAGATCAATATGGCTAAACCTAGGGCATAGATTTCACACCAATTTAATCGTATGCATTGACATCTGTTGTTAACCTAATCAAGCGTATTCTAAAAGTCAAATCCCCTATTATTCCACTAACTCTCTCTCTCGAGTAATTAGCAAATTAACCCTTAAGCAACAACCCAAGATATCTCTAAGTTGGATTTAGGAGCTAAGAGATCATTAAGCTCTATGGAATTTACTAGAGCCTCACAGATCGCAGTAACCTATCTCTAGCGTTCGCTCAATCTATGGTTTTATTACCTAAGACAAATCAGGTTTCATCTCTCGATCTCAACCTAACCCATGATATCATTCAACTCTTGGGCCCTTGAGAATTGAAAGCATTGTGCACAATAATAAAACTTGGAATTAAAAGCTCAATAAGAATTAACAACAATCCAAGTCAACACATATTCATAAATTAGGCTACATCTTAGCCCTAGAAAATAAAATTAGTTCATACTTTCAGTAATCAAAGTCATTGTATTCATAAACATGAGTATAAGAAAGAGTAGAAAAACTTCTCTAATTGATGACTCAAAATTGCAGGAATTTTCAATCTCCAATGAGCCGCCCAACTTCTCTCCCTTTTTCCTCCTAAAAATAAGCTAAAAACATCTATTTATACTCCTAGGGTTTTAGGGTTATGATTCTCACTATCCTAATCACATTAGAACTCTTAAAACAGGAAATACACGTCATAAATTTAATGTAAAAAGTCCAGAATCGCAGTTGTGCCGCAGCATTGTGCCTAGGCATAGTTGATTCTGCCCCAGAACTCACAATCTTGAACATATGGTGGTTTTTGAGCATGATAACGTTCGAATCTGGTCAAGTGGTAAACATATGGATTGTACCCCTTTGAATCAGATTTCCAACGGTTCAAGAATCATCTCAATCCGAGATCTACAGCTCAAGTTATTGTCAAATTACTATCACATGTTCAAAACTGGAGCGTTTTCCAAGATTTTCACTTTAACTTCAATTCGCCCTAACTTCTTCGTTTCAGCTCCGAATCATGAACCATTTGATTCTTGTCATCCCACATTCCATCGTCGATATAACGTTCATCTGAGTATCATCTTTAAGAACCTGAAAACACTCGAAACATCCCCGTGATCCCAAAAAAAACATTTATGAAATAATTAAGTTAAATTTCACAAATTAAACACATTTTTCCACAAATAATCTAATTGAATCACTAACAAAATATGTGTTTTCAAGCTTTTATCAAGTCCAAAACAACCTAAAATTTTGGAATTTCTCGTACAAGAAGATGACAAAGTCCGCACCATCAATTTGCAAGTAATGATCAGTCTAAAATTTTTAGTAATAATATACATACAAATTACATAGACACAGTTTTTATTTAAAACTATATAGTATTTTTGTTTTCTTGTTATTTATCATCATTAGATTGATTATTTATATTTGTTTTTCCATTCATTTTGCATTTAAAATTTACGTATGAAATATTATTCGTATTTAACTCTAACTCAATTAGCGATTTCTTTGAAACCAGCATAGACAAAAGTTGAACATTCAGCTTTCTACCACTTTTCACTGAAAATGGTTTGATTAAAATCTAAATTAGCGTACGACGTCTGATGATATCCAAATTCGAAATTAACTAATTATGTGTATTATTGACCAAATTCATTCCTAAAATATGTTACATATGATGTAACGCCCTCCTTGAGGTATATAGCTTCTTCAAGTTTATTTGCCTTTAAATGTTGTTTGTTGGCCTTAGTTAAATTGGTATGGTGATATTGTTGTGTGGTTGCCCTGAATTTGGTGAAGACTTGGTGAATTAGAGACTTACAGACTTCGCCTGGGCGAAGAAAAACTTTTGCCGGGGCGAAGAGTCGGCTGAATTTCTTGAGAAGTTTCTAGAGGAATTTTCCATAGGGGTAAAGTGACCATTCTACCACTAATTAGCAGGAAAAGTAGGGAGTGAAATGTAAGAAAATTTCATGGAGAATGCATTGGAGATAGGGTTGTATTTGTAAAGAATTAAAGGGCAAGGATGAAATTTCCAAGAAAGTGTAAGGGTAAAGTGGGAAAGAATGCTTATATAAATGAGCTAATAAGGGTTTAGTCTTACAAACCCTCCCATTCTCTACACCCCATACACCGCTTCCACTCTCCATTCCTTTCATCTCTTCACCAATTTTCTAAAGGAAATTGAGGGCTTTTGGTTGGATTTTGATAGGGATTTGATCCTAAGCATTAAAAGGTAAGGATTCTTGCTCTAGTTATGAGATTAATTTGTGTAAGTGTTGGATTCTTATTAAGTTTATGCTTAGGGTTTGAGAGAAAGAACAATTCTACCAAAGATAGAGGGATTCTTGTGGACTTACTCAAGTATAAGGTAAGTAAATCCAACCTAAACTAAGATTTAAGTAATCAAATGATTTGATATGCATGTATATGCTTATGAGTTTGAGATTGATTGTTGAGAATGATCCTATTGTTAAGTATATGGCTTTTGATGAGTAGATTTAAGCCATGAGAAGTGGAGTTGGTATGATGGTTACCAAGTGAAGTTTGGTTGAATTTAGAAAGAATTTGAGTAGAATATTGAAGTGTATTTTCCTGGCCAGGATTTGTGATGATTCAAGGGAGTTTCACTCCAATTATGGATGGTTTAAGAAAGAAGGAGAATTATAGTTAAAGTAGAATTTAAGTATGCATGCTTGTTGTTTGATGAAATGCCTAAGAGATACATATGTATGAGTAGAGAAAACTTAATTTTGTGCAACATTGCATATTTGCATTACATGCTTGCACTTAAGAAAGAATTATGAGCATGAGCCATCCACATGCATATATTTGCATATGCATGAGAATTTAACGAAAGAATAAAGAACCTTAAGAATAAAGAGAAAGAAAGAAAAGCACTAAAGAATTAAAGAAAGAATAGTGCTAAAGAAAAGAATAAGAAAAGAAAGAAAGAATAAGAGTAAGAAACAATAAGAAAAGAAACAAAGAAAGAATAAGAAAGAATAGAAGAGCTTGAGGAAGCAAGAAAAGAAAAATAAATAAAGAATAGAAACAAAAGAAACAAAAAAAGAAATAGAAAAGAAGAGAGAAAAAGCATTTCCTTGCATTAGTGCATGTGCATCTCATTCATGCATGTTACCATGACTTCCCTCATGGTTAGTGAGAATAAGAAAGAAAGAAAAGAACAGAGGGAACTAGAAATAGTGAAAGAAAAGAGAAAGAACAAAGAGAGAATGAAAAAGAAAAAGAATAGAGTAAGGAAATAATTCAAGAGAAAGTCACGGGGATGAAAGAGTAGAGGATTTACTTACTGAGCAATTTGTGCTCACCCCGTTGTTTTCCATGCTTTGTAGGAAATAGGGGAGAAGTGGTCGGATCGACGTCCAGAAGTAGAGAGAAATGGCACTTCTGTCCACCGTTGCTAAAGTTTTTGTATATATATTTTTTGTATTATGTAAAGAATTATACGTTAAGTAAAGAGAAAATTTTGGGCCCATCTACTTTTCATTTAAATAAATATGTATGTTTACATAGTATATTTTCTAAGTATACTAGTAGAAAAGAAGCTGGTACATTTTGGTATCAGAGCTAAGATTTTGGGATTTGACAGTGTGCCACTCTCGCCGCCACGATGTTCCGTAACCAACCATTGTAAGTTAATTCTTTCCTTACTTAAGGTGTTTTTTGAGTTGATTACATGTGGTTGTCTTGTAGATGAGATGTAGAACTCGAGCAAGTAGTAAGAAGACAACGAGTGTGGGGGAACCTTCCAACCCGCCAGAACCTACTCCCTCTATTCTTAATGAAGCTGGAATTCGGGGTATTATACAACAAGTCCTAGTAGAAAGCCAGGGGAGAGTTGAACCAGAAAGAATCAAAACCCCCGTTCAAGTACCGCCCACTAGGGAGGAAAGAGAAAGGCTAGTACCGCTGACAGTATAGAATCGGATTGAGCTGATTTATGGGCTCCCAAGTTAA